ATCGGATTTGGGTCACTTCAGGCTGCAGTCTGAACGCAGCCTTAGTGTGTATCTGTCACTTGTTTTTGTTTTTTTCTGTTAATAGAAAATATAATTAAAATATTTTGGTAGAAAATCAGCTGAGGGCCAGATTAAAGGTCTTGGAGGGCCGGATCTGGCCCCCGGGCCGCATGTTTGACACCTGTGATTTAGTCATTTCTGGTGATTTTAATGTACGTGTGGATAATGTGTGTGACAAAAAATAAGAAAGAGCTCAGTGCTGTCGTTGAAACTTTTGGTCTGACTCATGACAAAGGTCCAACAGCAGAGGGCGCACTCTGGACCTGCTCATAACAACTGTCCACCAGCAGAGGGCGCACTCTGGACCTGCTCATAACAACTGTCCACCAGCAGAGGGCGCACTCTGGACCTGCTCATAACAACTGTCCACCAGCAGAGGGCGCACTCTGGACCTGCTCATAACAACTGTCCACCAGCAGAGGGCGCACTCTGGACCTGCTCATGACAACTGTCCACCAGCAGAGGGCGCACTCTGGACCTGCTCATGACAACACCAGCAGAGGGCGCACTCTGTCCACCAGCAGAGGCGCACTCTGCTCTCATAACAACTGTCCACCAGCAGAGGGCGCACTCTGGACCTGCTCATGACAAAGACCCACCAGCAGAGGGCGCACTCTGGACCTGCTCATGACAACTGTCCACCAGCACTGGACCTGCTCAGACACCAGCAGAGGGCGCACTCTGGACTGCTCTGTCCACCAGCAGAGGGCGCACTCTGGACCTGCTCATGACAAACCACCAGCAGAGGGCGCACTCTGGACCTGCTCATGACAAAGGGTGTAAATATTTCAATTGTCAGTGTGGCTGATGTTGCTCTTTCTGGTCATTTCTGTGTCATCTTTGACGCGTCTGTTATTCCCAAACCACCGGCTGCTCCTGCAGGAGTTCAGAAGAGACACAGTAACACAGGTGCACTGCTCGAGGAAATGATACACTCTGAAATTTCCTCATGATGTCAATTATTTGTTGACCTATGAGAACAATGAGAACACATTAAGAGTGTTCTCATTGTTGTACAGCCACAGTTTGGGTGGAACATGAGAGAGGAACTTTTCAGGCATTATTGGAAATTACAATCAACATTCAAATGACACAAATCAGTTATCCAATACGGTGATACTGTGATTTGTTTCAGTGTAAATGGAGCCTAAGTGTAATGAGTTTGTCACGACCTCATATCTCTGTCATTCTATTTATTTTTTTATCTATTTATTTTGGGCAAGTAAAGATTTACATTCTTATACAATGGAACATATGGAACATGGTGACCCAAATTGATTTTTTTGGCCCTTATGTGACCTGTATCTGATCTTTTAACAGATCCGATTTTTTCAAATGTGACCCAGGACACTTGGATATGTGCTCCTAAAACCGGTACGAGAGGAACTTTAAAATCTCCAGATTCTCGATGCTGCGTCCATGTTTGGACAACTTCCGTAAACACAGAGACGCTCGCTGCGGTTGACGTCGTCGTGTCTCCAGTGTCACATGTGGGACACTTTCGGGCCGTTTAATGTTCACACTGGAGTCACATACAAGTCACATTTAATTGGAAATGTGAACGACCTCGAAAAAACATCGGATTTCACACAAAAATCTGAATTGAGCGTTAAGCCCTGCAGTCTGAACGTAGCTTTAGAGATCGTTACCAGTCTGGATTCGACCTGTTACCCACTGGATTTCCAAAGTCCGTCCTCAACGGTTTCTAAAGTCCGTCCTCAACAGTTTACTTTCACCACTCGCTCACATAGTTAATGCATCACTTCAATCTGGAACATTCCCAAGAGCTTTGAAAACTGCGCTCATTCAGCCTCTCCTAAAGAAGAGAAGTCTTGATGCCACAGGACTGAAATTTTCTAACACAACTGGCAAAGTCCTTGAAAACTCTTTTTGCCGTGGGCTTGTATCCATTATCCTTTAATACATAATGTTCTGTAGTATTCTGGGCAGCAGCATCATTTGTGCTTTATTACTAAACCACACAGTGATCATTTACCAGACTTCAGGGTATATGAGGTCAACTGTAAAATGACCAGAGGCATTAACAGTTTGTCAGAGGTGAGACCAAGCCGTTGTTTGCAAGTCTCAAGTAAGTCTTGAGTCGCTGACCCGTAAGTCCAAGTCAAGTCCAAGTCGTCTGCTTTGAGCTTCAAGTCATTTCAAGTCTTTAAACCAAAGTTCCAAATATAATATACCTTATATAAATAACAGAAAGAATTTAGATTTAAAAGTGCTTCTCGAGTCTTCTCAGGTCACAGGCCTCAAGTCCAAGTCGAATCCCAAGTCTCAGCCCTATAAACTTGACACATGAAATAACAGACAGAAAATTCTGATTCTTTGATATTTAACTCTTTATTGGACCATTCAACAAATGTAAAAAAATAAAAAATAATAATAATAATAATTTTGACCATTTTATAAATAAAAAATGTATCCCAACATGTTTATTTTAGGATCAAACAAAATTTATGCATTTAGAACTCAGAGAAACTTTTCTGAACATTTCCTTTTATGTTTTTAAATGTCTGAACAGGACATTTTGGTTTTAATGCTTGATTTTACATCAACCTGAAGATGGAAATGAGCCACGCTGGTTTTAATCTTGAAATATTTACATTTTTAATGTTCATTAATATGTGCTGTCTCTTTACAAATAAAGAAATAAGGAAACAGTTTCTGTCCTTGTTCAAGCTCAGATGTTCATCACATTTCCCAATGTACACGAGTGTGAAATGATTATAAATAATTGTTAAAAATAAATGAGTGAATCCTCTGAATCAGTAAAATATAGATTTAGTTATTTTGTGCGTGAAAACTGAAGAGATGGGACAGTTACACCAAATAAACCATTGGACCTTTCATTTATAAACAAGTCACGTAAAGATCAAAATTCCACCATTATGCAATAATAATAATAATAATAATAATAATAATAATTGAACACATTTTTAAGGTGACATTTTAGTTATGAAATACTAAAAATTGTGTGGTGTTAAATTTTTGAATTGAATTGCATCATTAAATTGCATGAATTCTGCAGATTGCATCATAAAATAGATTATAGTGATGGACGAGGAACAGAATCACAAATACCCGCTGTATCAAATTTTATACATACAAATTTAATATGATTTTTCTACAAAATGATGTAAAAATATGAAGATTTCGTAGATTAAACTAAGAAAGTAAATGTTCATATTGAAGATTCACTAACAATAACAATATTTAGGGAATTTTTTCACTAACCTTTTAAAAATTGACAAAGTTGTTCGTCCAAAAACAGAGAAAGTCACATCTACCAAACTGTCTCCTCAGAGCCTGTTATTTACTGAAAACCATGGACAGTCCACTAGGGGGCAGCAGACAAGTGTTTAATTATATGTAAAAGGTTTTTCAGGAAGAATATTGATATGTGGGTGAGCAGAAGTCTCAGAATGTCGTGTATCAAATATCATACAAATGGTTTTAAACGTTTAGTCCATTTTATCGCAGTATCAGCAGAAACTGACACACAAGACTAGAACCTCTCCACACTTCACTGAAACATTTTAATATAGAAGTCGCACCTGAGAATAAGTCACAGGAAACACCAAAACCGTGAAAAAAAGTGCGACTTATAGTCCGAAAAATACAGTAACAATAACAGTTCCTCTGAAATGTGGCTATACCAGTTTGTCAAAGCCTGATCCCGTCACATTTCAGAAGCTCAGAGTCCGGGTCTGGTCAGGACCTGGACTGGAGACACTGGGAAACTCAGGAGCCACAGGAGGACGGTGGAGTGACTCAATAACAAAATGTAAAACGCTTCAGGGATCTTGAAAGCTGGAATATAAGTGTAATAAAATCCACTGAACACCAGATCTGGTAGTTAGATTACCGGGTTATCTGACTACTCCAGTGAACTCATTTTTATTATAAATGTATCTGCACTGAGGAAGTTCTCGTACCAACTCACCACCGCAGACACCAGTGTTGAAATATTGGTGACCAAACAGGAAGTGAGGGTGACTTCACTAAACCTGATTCATGTTTCCCAGCCCGGGTCTGTCTGAGCTCAGAGAATTTTAGTCTGGATTTAGTCCCTGACAGGACTTGGGGCCATCGTAGGGCCTGTCTCTTTTGCAGCGATGAGTGTGACGAGTGTATGTCTGGATTCTTAAGTCTATTTTTAAACTATTTTTAAACCATTTATTATTATGTGTTTTATTGCATGTTACCCTTTTCCTGCTGTTCTTGAATTGCGCGTTGCAACACTGGAATTTCCCCACTGTGGGGGAATTGCGCGTTGCAACACTGGAATTTCCCCACTGTGGGACTAATAAAGGCATGTCTTATCTTATTCAGGTCGCCCCCTGCAGGACCGGCAGTGTCGAGGCTCTGGGACGTGCATGTTTGTTTGTCGCCTGTTGGGGGCGACACTGAGTCGACGGGCGACGCACGAAAACGCCCGTGTAATAAATTATTTTATTGAGTTTAGTGACAGTTCAACCCAAATAAAACAAAAATAAATACGAAACAGAAACAAGTCATGAGGATTATTATTTTTTATTTCTATTTATTTACTTATTTATTTATTTTTAAACAGTTCAGTTGAATTAAGAAAGTGCCAAGTGCCTGTTTTTTATTTTATTTTTATTTAGATGTGTTTTATTTAATCTTTATTTAATCAGGACAGAAAAACCACCAGGTCTGGACCAAGACCAAACCAGGACAACACTAGGTCTGAACCAGTCTAAACCAGCCTAAACTAGTCTAAACCAGTCTAAACTAGTCTAAACCGGTCTAAACCCGGCTAAACTAGTCTAAAAGAGTCTGGACCAAGACTAAACCATGACCAGATCTGAACCAATTTAACTGATAAAAAATGACAAATCCAAATTGTTTGCACCAAATCACTGAAACATCACCCCAGGACTAAACCAGGACTAAACCAGGACTAAACCATTGAAAATAAATACTTCACCATATAAATATTATAATTTATCATGTTTGTAAAACTGTAGAAAATAGAAATGTATAAAAGTTTAACAGTCGCTCTCACAGAACAAACGGGATCAGGGCTTTTCTGTTGCGGGGATAATCTGGAAACTTCTCCAGGTAAAATCTGAAACACAAACACAGCGGGATTCAAGAGGATTTTTATTTCTAAGGAGCTTTAAATATTCACACACAAAATTTGCAATATTTACATCACCATGTTTCATTTTATTGGTTTGAAAATATTCACTAAACAAGTCTAAAGCGGTATAAACTGGTTTAAACCGGTCTAAACCAGTCTAAAGCCATCTAAACCAGTCTAAACTGGTCTAAAGCGGTCTAAACCAATCTAAAGCCGTCTAAACCGGTCTAAAGCAGTCTAAAGTAGTCTAAACCAGTTTAAAGCTGTCTAAAGCAGTCTAAACCGGTCTAAACTAAACCGGACTAAAGTGGTCTAAACCAGTCAAAAGCAATCTAAACAGGTCTAAACCAGTCTAAACCGGTCTAAACTAGTCTAAACCAGTCTAAACCGGTCTAAACCAGTCTAAACCAGTCTAAAGCAGTGCAGCACCTGTGGTGTCCGAGGGCCCGGGGTCCGATGGAGCAGAGCGTGAAGAAGGAGAAGCTGAACGCGGCGAGATTCCAAACCGCCAAAGCAAAACCGAACCACTCCAGGATCTCAGCCAGAAAGTTCGCCCCCGAGACCAGCTCAAAGAGACCGCCTACAAAGACACAGAGGTCTGGACCAGGACTGAACCAGGACTGGACCAGGCCAGGACCAGGACTGGACCAGAACTGGACCAGGACTAAACCAGGTCTGAACCAGGTCTGACCCAGGACTAGAACAGGACCAGGTCTACAGCACCCAGAGTTGGACAGTTATTAAATTAATGAGGGAGAAAAAGGAGCCACAGTTTGGTTCTGGACAAAGACTTTTGTTCTGGACTCATTCTGCCCATTCACCCAGAGAAAGAAAAGAGGAGAAAGGAGAGAAAGAGAGCACATTCTTCTCTCGGGGACAGACGGAGGACAGAAACACAAACCACAGTTCAACCTTTTCCTGGTTTAGACCTGGTTTAGGCCTGGTTTAGTCCTGGGTCAGTTAGTCCTGGTTCAGTTCTGGTTCAGTTCTGGTTTAGTCCTGGTTTAGTCCTGGTTTAGTCTTGATTTAGTCCTGGTTTAGTGCTGGTTCAGTCCTGGTTCAGTCCTGTTTAGTCCAGGTTTAGTCTTGATTTAGTCCTGGTTTAGTCCTGGTTCAGTCCTGGTTTAGTCTGGTTTCTGGTTTAGTCTTGGTTCAGTCCTGGTTTAGTCCTGGTTTAGTCCTGGTTAGTCCTGGTTTAGTCCTGGTTCAGTCCTGGTTTAGTCCTGGTTTCCTCCTCGTTTAGTCCTGGTTCAGTCCTGGTTCAGTCTTGGTTCAGTCTTGGTTCAGTTTAGGTTCAGTTTAGGTTCAGTTTAGGTTCAGTTTAGGTTCAGTCCTGGTTCAGTCCTGGTTTAGTCCTGGTTCAGTCTTGGTTCAGTCCTGGTTCAGTCCTGGTTTAGTCCTGGTTTCCTCCTCGTTTAGTCTTGGTTCAGTCCTGGTTCAGTCTTGGTTCAGTCTTGGTTCAGTCTTGGTTCAGTTTAGGTTCAGTCCTGGTTCAGTCCTGGTTTAGTCCTGGTTCAGTCCTGGTTTAGTCCTGGTTTCCTCCTCGTTTAGTCCTGGTTCAGTCCTGGTCAGTCTTGGTTCAGTCTTGGTTCAGTTTAGGTTCAGTTTAGGTTCAGTTTAGGTTCAGTCTGGTTAGGTCAGTCCTGGTTCAGTCCTGGTTCAGTCTGGTTTGGTTCAGTCCTGGTTCAGTCTGGTTTAGTCTTGGTTCAGTCCTGGTTCAGTCCTGGTTTAGTCCTGGTTTAGTCCTGGTTCAGTCCTGGTTTAGTCCTGGTTTCCTCCTCGTTTAGTCCTGGTTCAGTCCTGGTTCAGTCTTGGTTCAGTCTTGGTTCAGTTTAGGTTCAGTTTAGGTTCAGTTTAGGTTCAGTCCTGGTTCAGTCCTGGTTCAGTCCTGGTTCAGTCCTGGTTCAGTCCTGGTTCCTGGTTCAGTCTGGTTCAGTCCTGGTTTAGTCCTGGTTCAGTCCTGGTTCAGTCTGTTCAGTCCTGGTTCAGTCTGGTTCAGTCCTGGTTCAGTCCTGGTTCAGTCTTGGTTCAGTCTTGGTTCAGTTTAGGTTCAGTTTAGGTTCAGTTTAGGTTCAGTTTAGGTTCAGTCCTGGTTCAGTCCTGGTTTAGTCCTGGTTCAGTCCTGGTTCAGTCCTGGTTCAGTCCTGGTTCAGTCCTGGTTCAGTCCTGGTTCAGTCCTGGTTCAGTCCTGGTTTAGTCCTGGTTCAGTCCTGACCTCGGGGGATCTTGTAGACCGTCTCTCCTGGTTTCCTCAGGTTCCTCAGGATGTTGTCGCTGTGAATGTTCAAGATCATCCCCAAGACGAAGAGACTCAGACCTGCACAACACAAGAACATCAGACCAGGACTGAACCAGGACTAAACCAGGACTAAACCAGGCTAAACCAGGACTAAACCACTAAACCAGGACTAAACCAGGACTAAACCAGAACTAAACCAGGACTAAACCAGACTAAACCTAAACCAGGACTAAACCAGACTAAACCAGGACTAAACCAGGACTAAACCAGAACTAAACCAGGACTAAACCAGGACTAAACCAGAACTAAACCAGGACTAAACCAGAAAGACTAACCAGGACTAAACCAGGAACTAAACTAAACAGACTAAACCAGAACCACTAAACCAGAACTAAACCAGAACTAAACCAGGACTAAACCAGGACTAAACCAGAACTAAACCAGGACTAAACCAAGACTAAACCAGGATTGAACCAGGACTGAACCAGGACTAAACCAGGACTAAACCAGAACTAAACCAGAACTAAACCAGGACAAAACCAGGACTAACCAGGAAACCAGAACTAAACCAGACTAAACCAGGACTAAACCAGGACTAAACCAGGCTAAACCAGGAACTGAACCAGGACTAAACAGGACTAAACCAGACTAACCAGAACTAAACCCAGAACTAAACCAGACGACTAAACCAAGACTAAACCAGGACTAAACCAGAAACAGGATGAACCAGGACCAGGACTAAACCAGGACTAAACCAGGACTAAACCAGACCACTAAACCAGGACCAAGACTAAACCAGGATTGAACCAGGACTAAACAGGACTGAACCTGGACTAAACCAGGACTAAACCAGACTAAACCAGAACCAGAACTAAACCAGGACAAAACCAAGACTAAACCAGGATTGAACCAGGACTGAACCAGGACTAAACCAGACTAACCAGACTAAACCAGACTAAACTAAAACCAGGACTAAACCAGGACAAAACCAAGACTAAACCAGGATTGAACCAGGACTGAACCAGGACTATACCAGGACTAAACCAGGACTAAACCAGGACTAAACCAGGACTGAACCAGGTCTGAACCAGAACTAAACCAGGACTAAACCAAGACTAAACCAGGACTAAACCAGGACTAAACCAGGACTAAACCTGGACTGAACCTGGACTAAACCAGGACTAAACCGGGACTAAACTGGGACTGAACCAGGACTAAACCGGGACTAAACCAGACTGAACCAGGACTGAACCAGGTCTAAGAGACTCAGACCAGCAGCCGAACACAAGAAGATCAGACCAGGACAAAACCAGATTTCGACTTCTATTTCCAATATTTAATTTAAACTTTATTTCAAATATCAACAATCAAAAACAGTTTCTGAGCGTATTTTCATTTTTATATTTTATTCTCTGTGGTTTATTTGCCGCAGACGTTCTTCTGTTTTGTGCTCCGAGTGTGAACTCAGTGTGAACTGAACAAAGGAGAGTTTATCTCCGATCTGCAACATGATTCTTCCATGGACCTCAACAATATCCTCTATTCACAATTATGTCCAGGGTTTTCTATTTCACTCACAACATTTCAAAACTTTTCCGTGACTTTTTCATGATCTAAAGTGAATTTTCCATGACTTTACAGCTAAAAATGAAATCTTAATCCTTTCCACTCCCATTATTTAAACAAAAGGCGTTTGGAAAGAATCATAATAACCTAAAAGCCAATTTAAACTAGATACGCTGTATCTCCATGATGAATAAAAGTTTACTCCTAGACTCAACCAGGACTGGGGGAAAGAACTGAACCAGGACTGACTCAGGACCCTAACACAGTAATGGAATATGGACTAGGCTGGTTCTAAAACAGGGCTGGAGCAGGTATGAAACCGGGTCTAAACCAGGACTAAAGCAGAGACTGGACCAGTGACTGAGCAGAGACTACACTCGGGCCGAACCAGGACTGAACCAGGACTGAACCAGGACTGGAGCAGGACTGGAGCAGCCACTGAACCTGGTCTCAACTAGGACTAGAGCAGAGACTAGACTAGAGCTTGGCATCATTAAGAAGTTGCCGATATGATACATATCTCGACACAATGCACTTTCAGTTTGATACGATATATTTCAAGTCTTCGTCCGATTCCAGGTCCAACACATGCGGCTGAACGCGCTGTATCTCCATGATGAATAAAAGTTTATTCCTGCCACTATCAGGGTCACGTCTGTCTCCCCCTCCCTCCCTGAGACGGCGGAGGAAGGGCGGCTCACTCAGAGTCTACGTCACTTACGTAACTCTTTTCACATTGTATCTTCTGCACATAAACAAGCACAATTTGGGTTTTGGAACATCCATTACACAATAGTTCTGAAATCTTACTGATTTCTTGGAGGCGTCACAGACCAGGAACTATGAAAGTCCGACTATTGCTCCTCCCCCCGCCCGTCCTGAGAAAGCACAGGCTCCGCCCTCCAAACGTGACGTAGGCTCTGAGTGAGCCGCCCTTCCTCCGCCATCTCAGGGAGGGAGGGGGAGACAGACGTGACCCTGATAGTGGCAGGAATAAACTTTTATTCATCATGGAGATACAGCGCGTTCAGCCGCATGTGTTGGACCCGGAATCAGACGAGGACTTTGAGGAGCACGAAGCTCAAGCACCGCGTCCACATCAGCTGAACATTACTGATTGGTAAAGTTTGAATAAACACTAGCAGATAAACTTATTATATCGTGTATGAAGCATTTTCTGCTACGTCAAACGGGTCACAGGTGTATCTGCTGTGTCATTGTTGTAGCAGCTTCAGTTCTTTGTCACGTGGGAGAGTGGCAGAAATACGCTGCAAAATAATCAATAAATCAATTAATCGTACGATAACTTTTAACGAGCTCGATAACTTTTCCAGCCACGATAAATTCTATTTGCAGCTTGTTTGTTTTCCTCGCTCTCTCTCTCTCAAAGAGACTGAATGTTAGAAGCTTCTGTCGCTCTGACTCGTCTCGTTTAACAAGTGGAATGACGCTTGAACCAACGTGTGCTGTGTTTATCATCAGAGCGGATGCGCGCGTCGTCTGCACAGCCGTCTCAGGTGCACCTTTAAGAAAAACACACAGACAGTGTGGTGCGCTAGCAACACAAGCTAGTGCTTGTCAGAGTGATAAAACTGTTCATCTCTGTTCATCGCCAAAACAAGTCACGATGCCGAATCAACACTGGTGAGCGGGACACGTCTCAACAGTCACGTGTGTCAAATGCAGCGAAACACAAATGACAAGAAGAAATGTCTCAAACCCCAACAGCCGATATAAACCCAAACCTGAGCGACAGAACTTGCCTAGCGCCTCGTAGAACCCGGAGAACCCGAGGCGCTAGGCAAGACTAAAATCACTTTTAAGGACAATTTTGTTACAGATTTAATAATCCATTTTATTTATTGCTTTGGTTGTGTTTGGTTCAACAGTGGTTTATTCAAGTACATTTAGTGTTGGGGAGTAACAGATTACATGTACCAGGATTACGTAATCAGAGTACAAATTATGAGTAACTGTATTCAGTTACAGTTACTGTTTCAGTGAGTGGTAATTGGATTACAGTTACTTTGTTGAAATAAATGGATTACACAGCGGTATTTTTCTGTTTTCACATTTTGGGATATTCCGTTTTTTTTGTTTTGTTTTGTTTGGTAATTCCACTTATTGCCGGACACTAAACCAGGTCCAAACCAGGTCTAAAACCAGGTCTAAAACCAGGTCTAAACCAGGACTAAACCAGGACTAAACCAGGAATAAAGCAGGACTAAAGCAGGACTAAAACCTGGTCTAAACCAGGATTTAACAGGACTAAATCCTGCTGCGTGGAATAATATTTTTAATATAATAAAGTAAAGTCTGGACTTTTTATTTTCTTTTATCAGACAAAACATCTTATGTGAAGATTTCCTCGTCTTTGTTTCTCTACAGCAAATCAAGTAATCCAAAGTATTCAGATTACATTACTCACTTTAAGTAATTTAATGGATTACGTTACAAACTACATTTTGGAGTATGTAATCTGTAATTTGTAAGGGAAAACATTTTAAAAGTCACCTTCCCAACACTGGGTACATTTTTGTGAACAAGTCCTCGCTGTGAGTCAGACACATTAGACTCGTCCTGTGTTAAGTCTGTTTTGATTTAGACCTGTTGTTTTTGATTGTCTTGCAGTTCCTGGTTAAATGTTCTTTAGAAAGTAAAGTTTATTGATCACTGAGAGGATGTATTTGCATTTTTATTCCATGGTCATTATATTAGTTGAAATTGGTCTCAAAATGTCAATATTATCGTTTATCACAATAAATTCTTGGTCAATTAATCGTCCAGCAAAATTTGTTATCGTTACAGGTCTAGCTGCAGTTTGTTAAAAAAAACGCAGAATCAATCTAAAAACCACTTCGGCGACAAACACAAGGCCCACACATCACTGTTACAAGGTAGAAAACTCTGAAAAGTAGATTTTTACACGAGATGGGCCCTTTCAACTACAGAGTTCCTTTGTTTTAGCCCCGGTTCATTTCTCATGTTTGATCTTTCATCTCAAATGTAGATGACAGATTTGTGTTACAGACGGACGGGCCCCAACAGGCCGAGTAATTACAGTCACACCCTCCGTCATCCCGGCGCGTCCCACAAGAAAGAAAGGATAAAAAAAAGATAAAAAAAAGAAAAGGTTTTGTGTTCAGTGAGAGTTAAAGGTGCTGGAGTTGGTTCTTGGTTATTTTAGTTAAATGTCATGGTCTTTAGGTCTTTAGTTTCCATTTTATTTTAGCATTCTGTAACTGCATTTACACTTCTGCTTTAGTCCTGACTTAGTGCTGCTTAATCCTGATTATTCTAGACTTGATTTGTGATTTCTGTCTCCTTTTTATTTCTATTGGTGTTTTTCAGACGGCATCTTCACACTGATGGGAGAAGCCAACATGAATATTGTTTAAATGCAGTTTTTTGTTCTTGGGACTCGTTACACATTTTCAAGCCGGTTCCCGCAACTAACCTCAAACCGACTGACGTGTTCACGCCAAAAATTTGAGCGTTCAGAAACTTGGTTCGTTTACTTGGTTCTGTCGCCGACAGAAACCAAGTAAAACAGTGATGAGACAGTCGACATGAGCGAGTTCCTCCAGGTCACACGCAGTAAAACAAACAAACAAAGAAAATGTGTGTGTGGAACATGGAGGAGAAATCAAGTGACAAGAAGATTGTGCAGCGTCAGTGGAAGAGACACAGAGGATCAAATATTGTGTATTTTTATTAAGGGGGGTGCTGTGGGCCCCCCAAAATCTCAAATTTGGTTGCCGCTCAAATTTTTTTTTTCAATATTTCAGGTTCATCATCTATTTACTCCAAGCTGGTATTTACAAACTAACTGTTGAACCTGAATATTTGACAGAATAATCATTTCTGACAACAATCTCACACTTGTCTGAGCTTTCATGTGGATGCTGTAGAGTCCCAAATATGGTCACAGAAACTACGTCATTATGGCACTATTCTGATTAGTTTAAAGTAATAAAAACATCTCATCATTCAGCTTCTTAGCTCTATTTTTTATGAAGTTCTGGTTTCTCAAACATGCTTATAAATTAAGGCTTCAGAAAAAGTGAACATGGCCCCAAAATTTCAACGGGCCAAAACTCAGGAACGACTCAAGGGATTGAGCTAAATTTTAAATTCCTTCATTTGGTAATTTTAGAAATGTTTTAAATTTTTTTCAGCCAAATCTGAGATGGCTCATAGGGAGGGCGGCTGATGTCATACAGACCCACCTTATATTTAGAAGTTTATAAAACATTTTACACTTTCTGTCCCAGTTTGACTAATTTTATTTTATTACAATTATTATAAATATATAAATAAAATATATAAATAAAATAATAATAAAACACCTTTACTTCACTGAAATCACGTTTAAAGTATCAGAAAAATGTGTTTTGTTGTATGTATAAACTGTGTCAAAATTTTGGACAGAATTTTTTATCTTTTCTTCACAAACTTCCTCTCAGTTGGTGTAAAACTTTACTTAAATCAAAACGATCCAACACATTGACCACCGTTCTGTTTGTTTGAGATAAACCGTCACCGGACTCCCTCTAAATCAAAGTCAAACTACCTGCGCCGGTCCTCAGGCTGGAGACCCAGTCCTGGTCCAGATCCTGGTCCGGGTCTTTGGCGGAGCAGTGCAGGAGGGCGTGGCTCTGAAGGAAGCCGTTGAGAGAACAGAAAAGTGCGGCGTACGCGATGATCCTCGGGCAGAGGGGGTGCCCTCCTCGGATCAGGAGCGGGTACACGACAGACCTGAAGGAACACGGGAATAAAACGAATAAAAACAGATAAAATAAACCAGGGATCTAAACCTTTTTTTTCTGAGTTACATTTACAAAACAAAAATGACAGTGAGCTACTACCGTATTTTTCGTACTATAAAGCTACGTTCAGACTGCAGGACTTAACGCTCAATTCCAATTTTTTTGTGAAATCTGATGTTTTTTCGAGGTCGTTCACATTTCCAATTAAATGCGACTTGTATGTGACTCCAGTGTGAACATTAAACGGCCCAAAAGTGTCCCACATGTGACACTGGAGACACGACGACGTCAACCGCAGCGAGCGTCTCTGTGTTTACAGAAGTTGTCCAAACATGGACGCAGCATCGAGCACCTGGAGATTTTAAAGTTCCTCTCGTACCGGAGCCAGAACATGAACAACTTACTTGTTTTAAGGAGGAGATTGAGAAGGAGAAGGACGAGGTTTTTGGTCGTGGTGTTTTGTGGGACAGAACGTTAAAAGGAACGTGTGGATGTGGAGACGGAGCCAAGAGTGGTGAGTGGTGATGTGCTTCACTTCAGTGACACAGAGTTCATTAACAATTTTCGCCTGCTTCAGCGCAGAATAGTGACGTTTGTGTCTTGTTGATAACGTGTAGGTGGATGAATGCACTTTGGCCGTTCAGACTGAAGTCACATGTCAAAAGATCAGATATGTATCAGTTTCAGGAGCACATATCCAAGTGTCCTGGGTCACATTTGAAAAAATTGGATCTGTGTGGTTCAGACTGACATTAAAAGATCAGATACAGGAACATAGGGGCCAAAAAATCGGATTTGGGTCACTTCAGGCTGCAGTCTGAACGTAGCTTAGGTTTTTTCATGGTTTGGGTGTTTCCTGTGACTTATATATTAAACCAGGAGTGTCAAACTCATTTTGGTCCGGGGGCTGTATCCAACCGACTTTGATCCCAAAGGGGCCGGATCAGAAAACTCATGTCATATAGGCGAGTTTCATTGTTGACAAAAGCGCGCGTTGCATGCTGGGAATTATTTTGGTCGGCGGCAAAAAAAAACTAATTGAACATGACGGACGGAGCGAGAAAACATGTAAAGGGTATTGATCCCGGTTATTTATCCACTCTAACGGCAGAGGACCCAAGACCATTTGACCAGAAATTGGTCATAAGCATCGACGGACGACAAATCACC